GTACAGTAGTCCTCCGTTATCCACAGGAATACATTCCAAGACCCCCAGTGGATGTCTGAAACTGCGGATAACCTCGAACCCCTACATATACTACGTTTTTTCCTGTGTATACAACCTACGATAAAGTTTAATTTATGAATTAGGCATGGTGAGATATTAACAATAATAACTAAAAATAAAATAGAACAATTATGACAATATACTGTAATAAAAGTTATGTGAATGTGGTCTCTCTCTCAAAATATCTTATTGTACTGTACTCACCCTTCTTCTTGTGATGATGTGAGATGATACAATGCCTACGGGATGAGATGAAGTGAGGTAAAGGATGCACGCATGGTGACTTAGCATTAGGCTACTATTGACCTACTGATGTTATGTCAGACGGAGGATCATCTGCTTCTGGACCGCAGTTGATCTTGGGTAACTGAAACCAGGGAAAGAGAACCCTCGGATAAGGGGGAACGACTGTACCTGGGCTGTGATAATGGATTACTCAAAGCAAAATATCCTCACCACTGAAATAGCTAGCCTTTCTTGGGATTTCAGTCTGGGAGTTTCACTTTATCTTTAGAAACCTGACCATACGCAAATCACATTTCTCTAGAAGGAAAGTATTTACTTTGCCTGGTTACTTAGGCTCCATTTTTGACATGAGTTAGAATAAACAGTGCTGAATAAAAATATATTTTTTCATTAAAATCTTTGGCAGTTGATTCTGTCATTTATCAGAATCATTTAGGTAAATGAAAAGCATAAAATATACATTTTAAAATTTATCATTGAACTTAAACTAGTCCTAAAAGTTTTGTATATAATGACGAAGAAAAAAATTGCTTAGTTATGTAAAAGCCATACTTACTAGTACTCTAAGAATAAATTGGAAAATCATTTCCTCTAAGTCAAAACAAGATTAAATCTCTTGACTCAGATAAAAGCTCCAAAATTTAATGCTACATGTATGTGGTTTTACAGTTTTTATGGAATATTTCTGTATTAATCTTAACCATCTTTATTATAGTACCTGCTCTTAAAAACAACATTAAAAACCTTTTATATCATGATTATCCCTGGTTATATAAACTTATTGGGAAAAATATTTTGATCATTAAGTACTGCACCAGAGGCTTAATTCAATCCTTAACTGGAAAGGTTTGACACTAGTTATGAGTGAATATCCAACTTATCTAATCAACAACAATAAGATTTTTCGTACAATAGAGAGGGCAATGTGAATGTGATTATAGATTTCTCAATATGGTTTTTACTTAAAAACTACATAACGACCATCCTTCACAGCAGCTGGTGTGCAATCACAATGGATTTGATAAGAAATTTCTTCATGAAGACACAGTACAAGCAGGCATAAAGAACTTTAAATGTGTAAAATAATTGTTAAACAAGTGACATGTTACACACATGGGGTACAACAATTATAGAAATACATTTCATGAAAAACTTAGAAGACATTCTAATTCCAAGGCTTATAAAGAAAATTTAAGATAATAGAAATACGTGGCAAGTGGGAGAAGTTTTTTACCCCCCCTTTCATTGCAATTGTTCTTAGAAAACAATCCACTTTGAATTTTGGGAGATAGTGTTTTTCATGCCTGTGCACTACATTTTCTGTAATATATAAGGTAATAGAATAGACTTAAATTAGCAATATTTGCTCTTATTACACATTGTCTCTAAAAAAAATCTATTTTGCTTCATGCCATTTGAAAATCAATTGCACATAACCTAATGGAATTTATTCTTTTTTTGACTTGTAACTTGTAAGAAGTAGAAAAGTCATCTGTTGTAAAATTAACTGGAATTGAAAAGATTTCTACATTGTAATGACTACCCAGACTTTTCTGAAGTGTAATTGATTACTATTATGATTTATATCAAGTGAAAAATATTCTATTATTACACTAGTGTTAAAAAAATTATAGCCCTCTTCACAGTTTGTGCCGTAAGTATCTTTGGGGTGTGTCATTCTGATATTTCAGGTTTATGTATATTCAGAGTACATTTGTTAAGCATATTTACCTGTATCTTCATTAAAACAACGTACACTGAGAGTGAAACTCAATATCATTGTGTCTAACTCTTTTGCAATTAACTCATCAATGATTTGTAGCAGTTATTTAATATCCAAGAAACGCTCCAAGCCTTGGAGAATTTAGAAGTCATTTTCCTCAGAAACTGGGAGTCATCTTTTGCCAAGAATGAATGCATTCAAGTATCAAAGTTTTCATGGGTTTGTAGAAATTCAGAAATAATGAAGTTCAAATGGATTCTATATAGATAAAATTATCTCATCCTTACTGATAACAAAATTTCAGTAACATTAATGACATTGTACATTACATCTTTGAAATATAGCAAAAAAAGATATACATATTCTATGAATAGCACAAAACAGTCACAACACATTTCTCTCATAAGAAGTCTTCTCATTTGTGTTATTAGCACATAATGAGGTAAGTAGTTGACCCTTTATTCCATAAGATTGGCAGGGTTCGGAAACACCTGTTTCTTTACCATTTGTCCTATTAAGGAAACCATACTAAATGGAGACCTCTTAGAAGGATTCTTGTATCAATGTGTTGAGAGCAATGTGCACAGTATATTATTTCATTCCCACAGTTTCTTGTAAGTACTGGTGTTTGTTTGTTTTCCTTCCAGACAATGATCATTCTTAGAAACTGTCTGCTTCCACAAAACTTAGCCTTTAGTAAGTATAAATAAAATTGGAAATTTGAAAATTTTAGTTAGAAACTTGGGTCATCCGGGTAGACATAAAGCATACAAGGGCTGTAAAACCGGTCTTCTTTCACATTGCACTTGTAAAACAGGGGCAGTTGTTTCATAAACCATTATCTCTTTGAGTAAGATGATACTGAATGACATTCAATATTGATAAGTCCCCTCAGCCTCTTCTTTCATACCTCCAACCAGGTTGACAGTAGTGATGATGGTGGTCTCTGTTGTAGATATCTGTGCAGTAAAATACTTTATTTCACATGGGCTAATAAACAGGAGCCAGGTGGTATTATTTGGAGCAGTGACTCTCGAATTTTAAGGTGCTTCGGAATCACCTATAGGGCTTATTAACACACAGATTCCTCAGTACCATCTCCAAAGTTTCTGATTCAGTAGATCTGGGAGAGGGTGAAAATGTGCATGTCTAATAAGTTCTCAGGTGATGCTGATGCTAACGGTTCTAGAACCACATTTTGAGAATCACTGATTTAGAGCAAAAGAATTCTGACTTCGAGTCTGTTGTTAACACAAAATCACACAACTGCCGCCTCTCTGAGCCACCCCCCCCCAATCTCTCTCCTTCTTAAATAATAAAGAACTAGATATATTAGGGTCTAAAGAATTTAGCTCTTACTCTGAGATATTACTTAGCTATTAAGGCATATTATCAATATGATTTGAGGTTATCTTTAAACTATTTAAAGTGCTAGCTTCCACCACAACCTGAAAATTACAACTCTCCTTTCATGCAGCATAACTAAGAAAAGAGTTCTCAAATGTACAAGAGAGAAAGGAGAGAGTACAATACTTTGCTTTCATTGATATGGATCTGACAGTTAGCAATATAATTTCAACAAACTTCATATGTGAGGGTAGTTTTTGCTTTGAGTAGTAAAAAGCACAAGGTAATCTCAAATTCTAAGCTGTGAAAACAACTTGAGGAAAATTTGGTTGTGGTACTTCTTTCTGAAAGTGATGAGTTGGAAAAAAGCAAGAAAAGAACAAGATAATTTTTGTCTTTTATGAAAATCTTGTTAAATACTGTTCTCCATATCTTTTGTTTCAATAAAATAAGAATACCTGTTACTATGAGAAGAGCAACTTTTCAACTTTTCAAAAATTAAATTAACCTTTTTCAACTTTAATTTTAAAGCGAATATTTGAATCAGAAGAATTTTGCAGAGGAATAAATTTGAAATATTCAGTGCTTTGAACCCCAGATCTTACATTTGTACAAAATATGCTATACTCCTATTGATCTGTGTGTGAGTTCAGAGCAAACCCCTCCATTCTCCTAATCACCTGGCTGTCAGCCGCAGGCCCAGGTGGAATTCACTGACATGGCCAGTGTCTCTGTAATTCATTAGAACAAAAGAACACAACCTTAATGCCAATGTCCAGGTGAGGACGATCGTAGGTTGCCTCACTGCTCAGTCCGTGTCCAAATCTGTACCCCACAGCGGCTTGCTTCCCTGCAGACTCTATCAACATGTTTCCCTCAGCAGTCTACAGCTCTTCTGAAGGCACGTTTACATCCTTACATGTTTACCTCATCCTCTACCACCGAGCACAGTGGGTGCTTCCTGGTAAGTATTTGATAAATATTCATGAAATTTAAATAAGTGCAAATATTTACCATCAAATCTCCAGGGCATGAACCTGTCCACTGTGGGACCGAGCTGTGACTTAGCAGTCTGCTACTTCTTTTCTTTGTAAAATGCATTCTTAATTTAATCCAGCCAGGCAACCATATCATTTCTATTGGTCAGAAGAATGTAATAATGTGATTTTATCTTATTCTTAAATGTCAAAATCTTTTCTTAGAGATGGAAATTATTATGTATTTGTAGTTACTCCAAAATTTTTATTTTAATACAGTTTTACTGGCCGTACGTTGAGATGAGAAATGTTAGCAATGGTAAGGTTACAAACCTGAGAAAATTATGGAAATGAGTGATAAAATTAATGAAAAATAAATTTTAATAGTACATATTTTTATATAGTTTTGAAAGATAGCTTTTGAGTTATCTAATATAATATGCTATTTTGTATACAAATATTCTCTCCTATGTCACATTGTAATGACAGTCTTTGTGATTTTGTTAAAACTATAAAGTCAGCTAACATGTCTGTCGTTAATTCAGTTAGTAATTGCTACTTCTTTTAGTAGCCAAAAGAAAATCATTGGATAACTCTTGGTAATTTTTTGCATCCAATTTGAAAGTGAGAGGTTAAAATAATGATTAGAATTAGAAATATTCAAATATTTAATTGACAAATCATAATACACAAAACTAAATGTGAAATAGCCTGAAATAAATTCAGTTGAAGGTTTAACTTCTGACATGTTGAAATCAAAAGTTGAGAAATTATTTCAAACTGACTTTTTTTATTTCCAAAGAGCAATAGATTTTCTTTAAAAAAAAAGAAAGGGGGTCCACAAAGTAATTTTAGCTTCAGATCATTAGGATAATAAAATTTCTGTGTACAGAGATTTAAAAAAAGATTAGTTTTACTCAGGTTTCCCTGTCATGTGAATGAACATTCTACCAGTTTTGAAGCGGCCCCGCTCCATTGGCTGCTGGGAGTGTGCTGATGCTGGTGAGCACAACTTGCTCTGAGAGTTTTGATATGTTATCAAAGTTGCTGATCTGGGTGGTCAGAGACTTCCGGCTCTCTGTGCTCGTCCGTCCCCTGGTGAGCCGATCCTCCTGGCCATGGTGAACTCCAAGGCAACAGCAAGAAAATGCAGCTTTAAACTCCTCTCGAAATTTTCCTGGCAAACCAGGGAGAATGAAAGGAAAAAAATTACGCATAAATATGTTTCAACAAATCATGAATAAGGTACAACGGAGTTGATCCCTTGAGCCAAACTAACGATGAGGTGCAATATTTTGCAAAGGTAGGGAGAATAGGAAAAGGAAATTGCATTCCTGGAAGCTTGGTAGACCCTTGAAACAATGAGGAATTTCCATAAAATAGCGAGACTGCTTTTCATATGTGAGGTTTGGAGTTTGTTTCATTCCTTTAGAGTCAAACCTCACATATTTGTGAATGTGGGTTATTTTTAACTAGGTAACTATAATAAAAGTGATCATCAGTACAAGGACATCCAGAGATATTTAATAATTTCAAAAATGATGAAACCTATGTGTACGTAGCCAAGCTATACAGAAATTACCCCTGCGCTGTACTCTGAAGAAACTGTTCTACTGACACGATCAGTTCAACAAAATATCTAGAAAAATATCTTAAAATATCTAGAAAATTTCTAAAGTTTAGTAAACTGCATAAGGCAGAACAAAAAAAACTGAAGGAAAAATAAATGACTAGAAGTTGTTTCTTGTCTTTAGTAGAAATTGGAGTGAAGTCAAATTGGAGAAGTATGAAAATGATCCTTTTTAAGGGTAAATGACAGTGTTGGGAATCATCGTTTCTTCTCTCTGAGCATCAGTTACCAAACTGGGTTATTGAGTGACCAAATGGGAAGATGCCTGTCCAAGGGCCTAGGACAACGCCAGGCACATAACGAGTCCTCAGTGGGTATCAGCCGCCTTCCCTGCCTTACTCTTAACCCCGTAATAGCGCTTTGACTTGGTTCTGTATCACCGGCTTCAAACACTTCTCCCTACGACCTCCTAATAGGTTTTACTGCTTAGTGCAAGGCTCAGGGCTTGAGTCATTTCCAACCCCGTGCAATTGCTTCCCCACTGCTCTCCATGCCACAGCTCCACATGGCCCCTTCTCCCTTCAAACACAGCACAGGAGAAGTGGTATTTAGTTGTCTCAGGCCTAATGTCATCTTTAGTTAGGAGATGGGGTTGGGTGCTGCAGGGGAAGCCATGAAAAGGGGAACTGAATACAAAACAAGCCTCACATATATACCACCTGATGCTCTGAAAGGTGAAATAAAGCAGGTACATACAGGGTGCATGCCATGATGGAAAAAAAAGCTATTAAAAATTTCTAATTGACTGGTTGGTTGTCTTTTTTATACATATATCGCCTATACAACCAAGAAGGCCAAAAATGAAGTTGGAAAATACACATAGTTTATTAAGTACGCAATAAAGTGAATTGCTTATTTTTCCATATAAAATTATCATGTATTTGGAGATAGAAATGAAAAAGAAATGACCAACCAGTTAGAAAAGAAGACATTGTAAAGATTTAGCTACTTAAAACACAATTCTAAAAGTCAATCAGGCAAAATGTTTATAAATAAAACAACAATTAAATGATTATTATAATTATATTGAGTTCATAAACAGAGATAGATTAAATCAATGGGTGTATGTGTAAGTGTTATGTGTTGTTTAGGAGTAATACCTTTTTTGGGGGTCAGTAAGAAATCTTAAGACAAACTCAAGAGATGTTACCCATGAAAGAAATGTAAATACAGAATAATACCTAAAAGTGGAAAGGTTCCAATTCAGTCTCAATTAGGCTACAAATGTTGGTAAAGGAAACAATATACCAAGGCTGTTTTATTTTCAGATAAAATTATTTTACATTTTTGTAAATCATGAGTTTAATGTATGAAAAGCAAGATCTCTATTATTCAGTTTTCACAATTTTTACTTTTCTCCCATTTCAACATTTCTTCTAAACTTTATGGAAAAAAATGACTTAGATAATTGTCTCTGATGAGTTAGGTAACAGGTAGTCCCTCTCATGAAGGAAGAAACTCGAGACAAATCACATCTGAGAAAAAAATATCTCACTATACAGCGACTAAGCTCATCATATAGTTCGAGAGTATTCCAAACCTTCCAGTCATTGATCCCTCACCCTTGATTAGAATTGTGGCTTATATAGTTGAAACTCACCACTCAGAAAATTATAAATAATTGGGTTCGCAGCACTATTGGCATATACGAGCCAGTGTGAAAATGTAAACCAGGCATATACAGTCTCTCTGTCTTCGGTGTGGGTAAACATCCCAAATACTCTGTAGGAAAAGAAACAACAGGAAATCCAGTGTGATTCTGGAGAGTACTTTTCAATTAACTAAACTCAAGGGTGAACAAAGCCCTCGATAGAGGCTTCCTGACCCATGTCCTCCTCGCTACAGGCATTGATGGCTGATGGGTTTACAGGACCACAGTGGGTTTAGAGTAACTGCAGCACCGGCCACAGAACCTCCATGGCACAGTTAGTAAATCAACAGCCACATCAGGTCAGAGAAGAAGAGTCTTTCTCTCCTGTAAACAGCAAATGCAATAATATTTTTTGTGGGTAAGAATACAGAGGTTAAATTTGTATCTATGTCCTTTTTTTCATTTTGTTTCTAAATACAACTGAGCAATGTTCGTTAATTCCATCTTGCGTGTCTTTAGAAAGCACACCTAAATTGCAGTCTATAAGTACTTGCTACTTTCATTTGGGCATTGATCAAAGTATTATGTTTCTTCAACTCCCATATTCCCACCTTTGCTGAAATTTGGCTTCTGGGACTTCTTTTTACCCAGAGAAGAACTAGTTTTCAGTAGGCAAAATTCTTGTAATTTCTGAAAATTCATGAGTTTTAGTATTTTTCTTTATTATTTTAAACTCTGAAAAATACTTCATTATGATATCCTTAAAAGTCATTTTCAAGATTTGTTCCAAACTTAGAAATATCCCATCTATCAAATTCTATTCACTAGCTGACAACAGGCAACTTGCAACTACCTGATTAATTTATAGGCTGAAGATTATAATGCATTTCCTGTCAGAGGCTCCATCATTAATTGTGTAGCTTGTGTCCATGATGGGAATGCATTTCTGGCATAAAGGGATGCTCTACAGAGTACTAGAGTTTTACAAAAATACGATATGGAGTGAAACATCACGGACAAATGGAATTAATGAGTTACGACTCTCTACCATAATATACCATAGAAATCCTAGACAAACCAGAACAGCCTTAAAGAAGTTAGTTTTGGCTAGTCAGACAAAAAATTAAGTTTCAAGAAAAAGAATTTAGGAATTTATTTGTAAGAGAAAGAAAACGTAAGTATAATATGCAAGGCCAAAAAGCAGATAAGCATTTGAAGAAAATGCTATTTGATAAAGAGAAAAACAATTTTCAAGGTTAATTTTTTTATTATGTGGAAAAGAGTAGAATTCTCAAAAAATTGAATATATTTTGAATTTAACATGGACTTTCTCTTTAAAAGGTCATTTATTTTCCTTGGAAAGGAAGGTATTTAAGTCAAAAGAATAGGAGAAATATTATGGACAAGTAGGTATTTGGAACTAGTTAAAGGAAGGGTACAAGTGCTGAGGTGCAGGAGATCCAAATGGGCAATCTGGAGAGCAGTAAATCCAATTTTCATTGAGTTTAGACTGACTAAAATATAGGTACAAAAAAGAAAAATCCAAAAACAAAGAGGAGAAAATCCATCCAGTATCATGGCATGTTTATAAAGTTCTTAGGAGCAGAAAACATCATCTAGCAAAAGACTGTAATACATGTGTGTGAGATTTCTGTGGGCAAGAAAAATGAGGGGATTTATGAAAAGATATGGAGGGCAAAGTAGCCTTCATGTCCTTGTGAGCCCGTATACGTATGTCTCAAGAACTCAAGCTGCCGAAAATCTTTAAGGCTGTGTCTGTGGTAAATAGTACTGAACAACAAAAAGAAAAGTTCATTTTCTATTTCTTCTCCGTTGAAAAAGTCATTAAGCAACCAAAAACAAGGGCCAAGAGAAAGAGAAATCTTTGCAGCTGGTTATACCACCTTTCATCTTTGTGAGTCCAGCCAGAGCAGCGTCTCTCCTGAGTCCCCAGCTGTGAGCAATATGATACTGACTCTGAATCAGGGAAAAGAGAGAGGAGCGCTTCTAGTTTAAGTTCGAAGCCTGTTATAAACAGAATTAGTATCACCTTGGGACCAGTCTGTGCCATGGTTATGATTCCCAATACGGTTGGCTGGCTGTGAAGTTCCTGTCTACCAGTGCCCCTGCATGGGCTGTTTGTGTTGGTCAATTGTTTTAACTTAATAGTGTGTCTGCAGCGGAACAAATAACATACTTTCTTGCACTGAAAAATTTTGTGCTGATTTTTATTAATATTCACTCTGAGCTTCATTCAATGACTTCAGGAAATGGATTTTCTTTCTTTCTGTTTAAACATTCAGAACATGGTATGTGCTGATTCCATTTTTTGTGTGTGCGCTCACAAATGTACTTTTAAGTATAATTAGAATGCTAACAAAACACTCATCTCTTTTTATCCTTTAGATAGAATTCTGTCATGATTCCCTATGTTTTTGAGAACAAAGTTTTGGAAAACCCATTTGTTCTGATGAAAAAACAACTACAGGCTCTATGTGCATTTTTTGCATTAGAAGTTTTTCTGAATCTAAAGCTTAGCAATTAGCTTGAAGAGGTCAGGGAACATCTGTTTTATGTCTGCCACTCAACAGAGAATTTGCATGAACAAGGGCATTTAGAGTCTGAATACTCTGAAGGCTATTCACCTTACCTGTTGATAACAACACATTGATTTATCTGGCTGACAAGCTATCTAGGCAGACAGTTTAGATTTTTCTCTGGCTTAAAAAAAAAAGTTGTTAATTAAGAACCAAGAAATGACAGGTCACTTCATTCTCATATAATAGGTGATCTTTACCTCTTTAGCACATTGAGGATGCTAATTGGTAGATAGCAAATTGCAAACACCAAAAGCACAACCATCAGCATCCGGGCTGTTTTCCGTCTGGCCCGGATCTGCTTTATCTCAGCGGCCACAGCGCTAATCCTGGACTTGGTCTGCTGTCCTGGCCCTCGAGGCTGTGAAACAGGCTGCAAGGCCTTCCATTTTCTCTGAACCACAGATGATGTTCCAGGGATCTGGAAGGAGCGGAGACCCTTTATTTTTATCTGACTTAGGAAATTCCCACTTTGGAGAAGTAATTAGAAGACACAGAAGGAGAGTGTCCCAGACACCTGTGGTCTGGGAGGTTTGAGGGCCCGTTTCCCCAGAACGTTTGCTGAGTTGAGTATGTTCTTGAGTAATACAGTCGAATGCCAAATAGGAGTTTGAGTGGAAAAAAAGTTGAAACATCGCAATTTTGTCAAGGTCTAAAGAGAGCTGCAAATGGAAAAGACAGCTCTTTATAGAAAAAGAGATGTTCTATATCCAGACAATGGACTATTCAGCGTTAGAAAGAAATGAGCTATCAAGCCATGAAAAAACATAGACGAAACTTAAATGCGTATTGCTAAGTGCAAGAAGCCAATTTCAAAAGGCTACGTACTATATAATTCCAAATATGTGACATCCTGGGAAAGGTAAAACTATGGAGAGAGTAAAAATATCAGTAGTTGCTAGAGGTTGAGGGGGGGAGGGATGAATAGGCAGAGCACAGAGGATTTTTAGGACAGTGAAAATACTCCGTGTGGTATTATAATGATGGATACATGGCATTACACATTACATAATATATTTGGATACATTGTCCAAACTCAAAGAATGCACATCAAGAGTGAACCATGAGGTAAAGTATGGACTTGGGGTGATTATGATATATCAATGTTGCCTCATCAATCGTAACAATTGTACCACTCTCATCGGGGATGTGGATAATGAAGAGGCTGTTCATGACTGGAGATAGGGGCCATATGGCAAGTCTCTGTACCTTTCACTTAATTGAACTGAACCTCAAACTGCTCTAAAAAAGAAAACCTCTCAATTTAAAAAAGAGAGAGATAAAGACTGAGGAAGAAGAGCAACAAGGGGATTACAATCATATTATCTTATTAGGAATTCTGGTTCAGCTCAGATACCCAAGTTTAAAGAGAAGGAAAACCTAACAGGCAATCGCAAAAGTGAGCTGAATGGATTTTTTTATGCATCAATACTGCCATCTGCTGCCAGATGGAGAGACGGGACTTAACTACTTGCATTTCTTTAGGTTTTCTGCTTAGGAGGTTTGATCGATGCAAACCTTTGAATGAAAGGAATAAAAAATAAACAAAACATTCTTTGTTGCATACTATTTGTTGTTATGAAATTGCTTGAAACCAATTTTATAGTCTAACCCTTTAAAATGCACACAGAAACAGAGAATCCCTTGTGGTCTTGCATTTCTCTTCAAAGTTATTTGATAATAGCAGGGAGTCCCTCCAAGTATAATATTTTCATAATTATAAGCTCATGAAGATCAATAGGGTTTAGTAAGCAAAACAATAAAATTCAGCTTGTGTAATTTTTTAAAGAGGAAAATATGCCAATGAGCACACTATCAGGCCATCTTAGTTCTACTGTGATTATTCATCTGTTGCTTTTATCTTTGTGCTGCAAGCTGGGGCAGACCACTGTGTCCCTGTGGTCTCAGAATGGATGTTGGATGGATTCAGTTGCTTTATACATCACAAGATCCAAGTCTGTTAGGCAACCCTTAATTTGAGAACAGAATTTTACTGTGATGTCTACAAAGACAAATTAACACGATGCTCCTTTTGACCATAAATATTGTCTCTCAAAAAGAAGCAAATTAACTTAATGAAAATCTGCCCTTAAACAGAAAAACATTTGATAAATCATTTCTCTTCTGACTCTGTATGTCCTGGCATGTAGACTGACCCTTCCACATAGTGGCGGCCCAATCCATCACCTTATCCATTGGTTGGGGAAGATAGAAGCTGGGAATCCTTCCTCCTCTGTGAGTCTCTTTTTAAATAGTCATTTTTAAAATAAGTAAGGAGAAGTTGCAATGGATATTAGAAAGTTCCAGAAGACCTCTAGCAAGAGTAACCCTATAAATATCTGCTAACTGGACTTGAACTACTTTCTAAATGATCTCTGGGAGATCATTTAAATTTTAGCAATTCTATTAGGGAGTGCACCCTTGAGGGAAAGACTCAGTATCCTGCATCTGCTGACTTCTGCAACCCTCAGAAACAGAGTCCCTGTGAAGAGAAACTGCCCCAGGGAACATGGCTATGGTCCCTGCAATCGGGGGAAAAAAAGCAATGATAATGTTCTCTTTTAAGATGATAATCTAAATAAGGATGGAAGATGTTTAATTCTGCACGCATCTTGAGGGGATATACAAATCTCCACATTGATAAATTGTCTATGTCTAGAGAAAGTCAGCATGATATTAATAGAAATCACTGATATTAACTGAGCACCAGGAACCGTGAATAATCTTGAATAATCATTAATGCGTTCCTAAGAGTAGATTACTGTGAATCCTACTTTATAGACGATCAAGCAGATATTGAGAAGGATGAAATAAACATCCAAGTCTATATCTGACAAGCCAGGATTTGCACTCAGGTCTATCTGACTGTAAAGCTCATCTTTTCCCATTGTGATGCAAGGTGTCCATGTATAAACTTCAACACAATGTGATATGGAAGTCAGTAAATGTTTTTAACATATGCCTAGTTACATAAAAGCAATAATAATCATACTAGAGGGCTTTGAGAGATCCAGTCTGGGAGGCTGTCCATATGGGAAGGTCTTTCCCCTGCCATCTCAGTAAGGGGTCAACAACCTCTTCCTGTGGAAGGCACACACACACACACACACACACACACACTCCATTCTTATTCTACTATTATAAACAAGCTTTAAAATCATCTTTGACATGAAAATACATCCTAGAAGAGGTATTACCACAGTTATGAATTGAAAATATCATGTAAATTATGGCCCTTGAAACCTGCTCTGTCTTAAGAAATATTTGTGACCAGGACAAAGTTATAAGCAAAAGACAGACATGCTGCAGACATTAAAAGGGAAATAAGACTACATCATGTTCACCACCAAAATACTAATTACAACCCATCACCACACACATGTACCGAATTATCCCTTTCACCCTCCACCCTCCCCCCTTCCCCTCTGGTAACCACCAATCCAATCTCTGTCCCTATGTGTTTGTTTATTGTTGTTATTATCTACTACTTAATGAAGGAAATCATACGGTATTTGTATAGTTGAGTTTAAAAAAAAAAATAAAAAAAAAATAAATAAAATAAAAAAAAAAATAAAAGGGAAATAAGAGAATATTATGAACAACCAATAACTCTGCAAACTTAAATGAAATGGATACATACCTTGAAAAACAAAGATTACCAAAACTGACACTATCCTTACTCAACCTTGCTCCAAAAAAACTCTAGGCCCAGATACGTTCAATGATGAATTCAATAAAACAATAAAGAATAAATAATACCAATCTTACTCAGAGTCTTTCTGAAATTTAATGAAACAATAATACTTTCCAACTAATTTTATGAGGCCACAGTTACCCTAATAATCAAAGACATGACAACAAAAGAAAACCACTGAGCAAAACTCCTTAAAAATATATTATCAAAGCAAGTCCAGTAACTTACAAAACCAGATAATAGATTTGGCTCAATAAATCAGTCAGATTTATTCCAGCAAAGCAGTGTTGGTTTAACATTCAAAAATAAATCAATGTAATTTATCATATTAACAGAATAAAAGAGAAAAAAATATCATCTCAATAGATAAAGGAAAAGCATTTGAAAACTTCAACACCCTTTCTTGATAAAACTCCATAAACTAGTAAACTAGTAATAGAAGGAAACTTACTCAACCTGATGAAGTACATCTATGAAAAGCCTTTAGCTATGATGCTACCTAGTGGTGAAAGATGAACACTTTCCTCTAAGAGTGGGAACAACGCAATGAAGTCTTCTCTCACCACCTCTACTCAACACTGTGCTGGAGGTCCTACCCAGCACAAGAAGACAAGAAAAAGAGATAAAATGCACATAGATTGATGCTATTCAGAGGACATTACCGCTTACAAAGGAAATCCTAAGGCATCAACAAAAAAGCCACCAGAACTAACACCTGAATTTAGCAATATGCAGGACACAAAATCAATAAACAAAAATTAATTGTATTCCGATATACTAGCAATAAACAATTGGAAAATTAAATTACAAAATAACACAAGTTTCAATAGCAAAACCTGTATTCTTAGGGATACATTTAACAAAATATATATATGAAAAATTATGAAAATTGCGAGGAGATATAAAAGAAGACCTAAATAAATGGAGAGATACACCATGTTCATGGATTAGAAGATTTAATATTTTTAATATGGCACTTCTCCCCAAATTGACCCATAGATTCAGTGCAATAAATCCCATTCAAAATAATGGCAATATTTTTGTAGAAATTGAAACATTTATTTTTAAAATTTTTATGAATATGCAAAGGATCTGGAATAGCCAAAACAATTTTAAAGAATGAACAAAGTTGGGGGACTCATATGATCTGATTTTGAGACACAGTAAAGCTATATACATAATGTGTATGTATATATGCGTGATTGTGTGTATCTCGGAGGAAAGAAGACTAGCATGATATATACAATTTGCAAGTTATCTCATTAAAATGTGCCTGCAAAAGAGATCACCTGAAAAATGGTATGGAATTATGAAGGAATCTAGTAAAGAGTCATTTAATGGCTCCCAAGGAAGGGAGGATACTATTCAAAGCAAAGAGAAGCAGAAAGACAGATAGGAAGGCCGTGGGAAGGGAGTATATGAACAAGGAAGCCGTGAACAACATTGCCTAATGCTGGCAAACGGTCAAGCAAGAAGTCTTCAGGAAAATATTTTCTGGAAATCATTGGTGACTAGTGAGAGCAGTTTCAGTGTAGTGGTGGGACTTGAATCAGAATCAAGTGGGCTGAGAAATCAGTGGGGCTGAGGGGTGGTGAGAAAAAGAAACCAATAAATGGGAATGTCAAAAATTTTAGCGAGGAGGAGGAGGAAAGAGTTAAGTTGGTAGCTGGAAGGGTCTGAGAGTTTGGATGATGCTTTTTTTTCAGTACTTAACAAATGCCTGCTCC